GAAGGTTTCGGCCTTCGCGATGATAACCGCATGAACAAGGAGTTGCAACCAAGATTTTGGGGGAAATCGCGGGAAACTGATTAATAAAGGATAAGGGTGGTTTGCGAAAACAGAGAATATGTTTGGGAGTCGGTTGAGTGTGGGGAATGTGTTAGCCACCCCATACACACATTCGTTAAAACGATTACCTAAAGTTTGTTGTGCTATATTAATATGGTTTTAAAATTATTTTAATTATCCCTTTTATATTAATGTGTTTTAAAAAATGATAAGAATTAAGTGAGAAATGTTTATTTATTTATGAAGGAGGACGGACTTGACTCAGAATCTAACTCTGAGGCCTACGTACCCTGCGATGGAGACCAAAGTCCCGTAGTTCGGGCTTGAAAGTTTTTGATGAAAATATTTTTTTTTGAAGAGAAATTAACTAGAAATAATTCACCATTTTGCAAATAAAATAATTTTTAAAATTTGATATGTGTGTTTTAAATTGCAAAAAGTAATTTAATTTTATTATTTTCTCAATTTTTTGAATTTTGAATTAAAGAAAAGAAGAGGGTTTAAATTATTATTTTTTATATTTTGTGATTGGGAATTTAATCGCAGTACTGCAGAACCTTATTGTTTCATACGATAATGCAATTGCTCTAAATATCTGTAGAGATTCCGAAATCTCACACAATAAAAGAGTTTGGCATTTAATTTATTTATTTATATTCTTATGTATATTTTTAAGTGTTAATATAATTTTTAGCGTGTATATACATGTTTTGAAGAATTTTAGTCATCATTTTGCAAAGCTTTATTGGCTTATACGGTAATATGATTATCCTAAATATTTGCAGAGATTCTAAAATCTCACACGATAAAGGAATTAAATTTAAATACATTTTTTAATGTAATTATTTTAATACATAATTTATATATACATTAAAAACTTAATCGTTTATATCTGTAGAGTCTTATTGACTCATACGATAATACAATGATCTTAAAGCCTCCGGAGATTCAAAAATCTCACATGACTAAAAGATATAATCAGTGAATATGGTTACAATTTAATGCATTAATTTAGTTAATTAATTTTCTAAATTGTGTATTATATGATTATTTATAAAATTATTTATTATTATAAAAATTTAAAATCATTACATCTGTGAGGATTTATTATCCCACATGATGATGTAATTAATTTAAGTCTCTATGAAGATTCTTAAAATCTCACATGGGACTTAAATAAATTAATTTGGATTATAAAAGAGAGTTAATTTTAATATATAAGTTTTGCTCTCATATCTACGAAACCTTATTGATTTACACGATACGAGATTATCCTAAATATCTGTAGAGATTCAAAGTCTCACACGATAAAAGGATTAAATAATATTCACTTTGAATATATTTTAATGCGTAATTATACAATGCATATTTTTAAATATAAAAATCTTAATCTTATACCTGCGAAACTTATTGACTCACACGGTAGTACGATTATCTTAAAAGTTTGTGGAATTTTAAAAATCTCACATGACTAAAAGATCTAATTAAAAAATATAATTATAATTCAAATTTATTAATTTAATTAATTAAAATCATGAAAATATTATTATTTTATTTACAAAACTCATTTATTTATTTACCATATAAATTGTGAATCACGATATTTGCAGGATTTATTATGCTACCTGATAATGATTAATTTAAATCTCTATGAAAATTCTTGAAATCTCACATGAGACTTAAATATTTAGTATAAAGAGAGAATTACCTTTAATAATAGGCCTTTGAAACTCATATAAATACCTACAAATTTTATCCTTATACCTACAAAATCTTATTGATTTACATGATATGAAATCATTCTAAATTGAGATTCTTAAAATCTCACACGACAAATAGGTAATCAAGATATTTGCACTTGCAGTCGGCGCATAATATGAGTTTAGCATTCGAAGGAATAGAGAAAGAAACCATTTTGATACTTCACTCCTCTTTTGACTTGAAGATATGTTCCTCAAGATTTTTCAAGATGGTTTAATGCTCAGATATGACTTTTAAAAGAAAATGATGAGAGTAATGGTAATAGCATCCAACAATTAAAATTAACAAGATCCACATACCATCACCACCATTAATTTCCTAATTTATTTCTCATGAAATCAAAATGAAGTTGATATCCTAAAATTATTTGTGAATAAATAATAGTCCCATATTAGACATATGCATACTTTTAATTTTTCCAAAATAATATGATCATTTGAATGAATGAAGCAGGCATGTGAAATTTTAAAAGAAGTACAAAATTTTAAACAAGAAAGCGCATACTCAAGATAGCCTTTGGTCCCCATTATGTGATCACCGAATCTAAACACTTCAATCCCTGTCTTCTCCAACCATGCAATAATCTCCACCTTTGCCGGAAGTTCTCTTACCTCATTCGATGGCATTGGATTATAGAGAGCTTTGATGGCAGCATGATAGACGTCAGAGACAATGGCTATGATGATGTTAAGGTTATATAGGTTGAGATCACCATATTCCTTGGTATTTCTTCCTCACGTTCTTGGTGTCCTCTGCGTACAGCAACACTGCCTGCCTTCTTTCTCTCTCCCTCTCTTTCCTCTTTACTTATAAGCCTGCTAAAGTCTCTTTCTTCTCAGACTCTCCATTCCAGATTCCCCAGATCTCTCTCATGTTCTAACCTCTTCTCCATCATTCTCTTGCTTCTGCCTTCGACTCTCTGTCTCTGTTCGTTCCTTGTTCCAACTGCTATGCTCTCTCACTCTGTCTCTCTCTCCTCTAAAAATTTCTCTCTCTTTCTTCTTTTCTTAGTTTTGGATCAGTGTTCCTTCTTCCTCGGTGCTCTATTTTTTTCCTCTCTGTCTCGGATCGCCTGTGTTTCATGCTCTATTTTTTTCTTGATTTTTCAGTCTCTTGTTCTGTACTCTGTTTTCCTTCCAGTTTTTCCTCCTCTCTCAGACTCTTCCTCGGTCTTGCCTCTCTATCATGTTTATGGCTCTCTCTTTTTTCGTCTCTCCTCCCTCTTCTCTCTCACTAAAACGTTCCTGTTTCTCCTTCTCTCCATGCTCTGTTTTTCCTTCATTTTTCTATCTCCGTCTCTTTCTCCTTCGTTCTCTCCTCCATGAGCAAAAAAATCTGGTCCCCCCTCTCTAGATCTTTACTTTAGAGATCCCTTTATTGTTGAAGCGGTTCTTTTTCTTTGCCTTGAACGTCTTCTCTATTTCTTTCTCCTTTTCTCTGTTTCAGCTCGCATGCGTGTCCAGCATTTGTTTTTCTTTTCTTCTTCGTACGTGCATGCGTTTCTTTTTCTGCATGCGTCTCTGACTCCTTTTCTTCGCATGACCAAGTGTTTTTCACGTCTGATCTTTTCTGCATCTGCCTCTGGTGTTCTTCTGTATTTCCCTTTTAGCTGTGTGGCCGTGCGTCGTCTTGTTTCTTTTTTGTTTTTGCATGTGTGCTTCTGGTCTTCTTTATCTCTGTGTGCATGGCATCTGACCAAAAGACCAAGTTTGGAACTGATGGGGTTAGATTTAACCCATCAGTTTGTGTATTATTATTTAAAAAAAACTATAATTCTTTTTTTTTAAAAAAAATCCTGTTTGTTAATTTAGAAGTTGAAAAAAAAGACAAAGAAATTTGATTTTGAATTAAGCAAACATATTTTTTTTTGAAGATAACAAAATTTAAAGGAAGAAATTCAAAAGAAGTTGACTCTCAAAATTAGTTCTTAATATCTTGAATGGTTAGGATAATTTCGAAGAGATTTTAAGCAAGGTTATATTTTTTTGTTAATTTTGTTAGATTATTATTTTTTTTGAAAATATAATCCTAAAAAAGGATTAAATTTTATTTTTTTTATTTTTATATTTTAGTTATTATTATTATTTAAAAAAATGTTCTGACAAAATATGGTGTTACAAAGAGATTAGAGGAACAACCTCAGTTTGACCCTTTTGTTCTTCTTTCTCCACCATCTCCAATGCGCCGTGAAGATAAATGGAAGTTTGTGCACCAAACAAGAAACAAGTCCTACAGAGCTGACATGGCTCATTTAATTAATTGGTAAATAGATTATAAGTATTATTATTCCTTATTTTAAAATGTTTCAGTTAATTAAAATCTTAAAATAATAATTAGAACGTTCCAAGGTGTAATCATCTTTTATCCTCAATGTCTCCCTAGAAAAAATTAGCAGAAGCATAATCAATGGCATTGCAAATAGAGATTGACAGCTTAATGGCTGTTTGATAAAACCATGGTATTTTAACATGCAATTCTAGAATTGCCAAACCAGAGGTTGTTTTATATAACGATTACTTTTTAACTATGATATATTTCCCAATATATATGACACTTTTTTAACCATCATATAAATGGGAAGACTATATAGATGGCTTGATATATAACGGTTATTATCATATATATAAGCCAAAATAACCATAAAATATGGTCATTTATGTGGTAGTAAGCTAATTTTATTTTACTAGGGTTTCTCAGGTTAACTTAGGTCTTTTCAATTCATATGGCTCCAATAGCCAAAAGTTGAGTGTTGTTAATTGGCTAAATTTATTTGCTTCGCTTCCTTTGGAAAAAAGAACAACCACAAAAAGAAACAAATCAATGCACATAAATTATATGTAGTTGCCAATTGATCATGAATCTGGATCAAGTGTACATGGTATGTACCGTACATGATAAAAAAGCCTATCTAATTATATTTTCATCTAAGAAATTGTTATCCTGTGGAAAAAAGATAAGAAAAACAATTATGGAAAGCCCTATTTCGGTTAGTTCCGCAGATCATCAATAATATAATTTAGAAATTGCCTATTGTGGAATATGATTTGAGAAACTATTTTTGTAGGGTTATCAATTATTCATAAGTTTATGGCTAACACTTCATTTTTTGTGGCCGCATTATCGCTAACACATCAAACAATAACCAGATTGTTAGAGACGAAGGAGACATAATTATGGATATGACAAAGGTTTTACCTGTAGACTGCATTTCAAATATTATTTCCTTAACATCTCCAAAGGATGCATGCAGAACTTGTTCTGTTGCTTCCGTTTTCAGAACAGCCGAAGATTCAGATACTGTGTGGGAAAGGTTTCTGCCTGGACATTATGAGGACATGATAGCTCGATCCTCATCCCAATCCTTTTTCACTAGTTCTCTGACCAAGAAACAAATTTTCTTTCATCTTTGCGATCATCCAGTTCTTTTGAATGATGGTAAAATGGTATAATCATAAGCACTCAATTTTAGTTATTGTATTAATTTGTGATGTGAATTTTGGATGGAATCTTTGCATATCTTATTGATGATAAGCATGTTGTGTTTATCTTTAGCATGAGATTTTGCCAGTTATATTTAATTTGAATGATAAAGTATAATGGCGTCGTCCAATTAATACAGCCAACTCCATCTAATAGAATAAGACTTGTTATTGTTGTTGTTGTTTATATATTTAATTTGAATGCTTTGTATCTAATATTTATAATTTTTTTATTTAAATATATTTTTTAAAAAAGTTACAGTTATAAGATTGACTTAACTTTTAGAATTCTTAAAATAGAATCTTAATCTTAAGTACAGTTATAAATTTTAATAAAATCTTCTCTATCTAATTTGGATGTGGGTGTGCGTGAATCGTTCATATGAAAACGTCTCTATTCAAGATCTCTGATATATGAATAGAAGATATAAATTTATGTTGATTATATATATTGAATCATCTACTAAATTAATATATTTGAATGAGAGAAGAATAGTACGTTACTGCAAACAGGCAGTTTGCTGTGAAAATTGATGACTAACTTGCAAGCATTTGTCATATATACACCATACTTCTTTTTTTTTTTTTGTATTTTTGACTATATGACTAAAATAAAATAAAAAATTTAAAATGAAAATATTTTGTGAAAGAAGAAATCGTAATTTGTATTTAATATCTCAAGGAACAGCTAATAACTTTTAGACCAGACATGTTGCCCAGTAAAGTTGACAAAAATTTTCGAATATTCCAACAAAATGATTGAATGTAAAAATGTCTCAAGCATTATATGCCAAGGCCCTCTTTGGCATCCACAAAAGAATTAATCAGTTCTTTTCCATCCATGTACAAAGTTCAAGAAATACAAAATTTATTTTGTTTTTGTTATCATTATTCTTTTGCACCATCCAATCATACTCATCATATATCGATCATCTGATGCATAAGAAGCACTTTTATCTGTAAAATCACTTTTTTTTTTTTAATTTCAATTTACGCCATGGTCGTTGTAAGGTCGTTTAACAATATTTTTTATATCTAGCAGTGTCTTGGCTTAGAAAAAGACAGTGGTAAAAAATGTTGCATGCTTAGTGCAAAGGGTCTCACAATTGTGTGGGCAGACAGAAAATCTTACTGGCAGTGGATTTCTTTACCAGAATCTAGGTATGTTGTCTTCCTAAATATATTTTAGGTTTAGAGTACAAAATATTCAAAAACTTTTCATGGAAGATCCTAAGTTGACAATTGTACATAAGTACCCATTAAATTTTATAAGAGGCTAACCTTCTCCTATTCATTGAAATAGTCTAACATTGACTGTTGATGACAATTGAAATATAGTAGTCTCCGTTATAAAGTTAATGGATATTCATACACTACTATTGACTTATCAAAAACTGCAGGAAAAAAAAATAAGTTTTTAAGTATTTTCATACCTTAATCCTATATTTTAAGTGTTAATCCTATATTTTAAGTGCTAATGCTTTTGGAAAAAAAAAATGACAGTCTTATCGCAGTAGATCAATAACTATGAAGTCCTAAAATATTCAAAAGGAAGATAGGTACAATGTCTATTTATTGATATCTACAATTTTAGATAGATATTTGCAAGTCGTCATCTTTTAAAATGTTCTGTACCTATTAGTCATTAAATTAATTTTTCACAACCTGAATGTTATTCTCCCTTAAAAACATGGAATATTAGATTTTTTTTTTAGATACAATTAAAATCTCTTTCAATTCTATTTCACAAAAATGTGATCTCTTGTACAAAAATGTTTTTGCAACAAAAATGTTTAGAGTAATCTTGCAATTACCAAATGTTCTCTCGTTAAAGGTATTTAATTCAATATACTTTACAAAAAGGACAGGAAAAAATTGTGACAAAATTTGCAACAAATTATTTGTTACATATTACATTATGTTATGTCATAGCAACCAACTTAGAAATGAACTGAATAACTAAATTGAGGTGCTCATGTTCCAGACAACTTGCTTAGCAAATTAGGTTATGGATTAGATTGAGATAATTTTCTTTTATCGAAATTCTATTATTAAAGCTGAATTCAAATTTAAATTAGAAATAAATACCTCAACTCCTCAAAATAGTTTTATTTGTCAGACAAAACAACCATACTAAGACGAGTGAATTGGGTGTGTGCAGTTTTCTTTAATTATTTCACAATTTACTATTTTTTGAAATCCTTGATACAAATAATACTTTTACTTAGATTAGTTAGCAAATAAACAGTTATACCAATCATTAACAACTTTGGTATAATGTTAATCAAAATATGCAGTATAACAATTTAAAAACCTCAATAGAGAGCGTTTGGTGATTTATAATTAACTGGGTGCAAAGCCTTATTTCTAAATTAACTCTTTTTTTGGGGCCAAAAATTCTAAATTAACCAGAGAATGTTAAATTCTCATGCATGTACTGACACAAGATATTAACAAGATCACTCCAGAAAGATAATTTAACAATATCCTCTAATGAAGATAAAGTTCGTGAGTAAAAAACAATATATAGTGCCCCACTTTATATTTATTTATAGTTGTCCAAATTTTAAAATGGGAGAATATGTTGAAGGATTTTTGAAATAATTTAATTTTTGACAGTGACTTCTAACAAGTAAACTTTAATAATTAATAAGTGATATTATTGATTTAAGAAATATTTGATCTGTCCAAGTCCTTGCCAGATGTTCAATTATTTCAGGGATCATTCATTGATATTCTCCCATTTACAATCTATCACGTGTCATGGTATTTGAATATTAGATATTTTCTCCGTACAGATTTACCGAGGTGGCAAAGCTCAACCACGTGTGGTGGCTTGACATAAAAGCAAGAGTAAAGGTTAATGATCTCTTGTCTCCAGGAACAATATATTCTGCATTCTTCGTCTACAAGTTAGAAGAGGAACATTCTATGGCAGATAGATATGTAGAACTGAGTGTGAACAACGAAGAAAGTGTTAGTGGATCTCACAGAAGAGTGATCTTAGACCCTTCTTCGAAGCATTCAATAATGAAAAAGAAACAAAGAGCATCAGCACGCAAGAGAGAAGATGGGTGGATGGAGGTTGAAATGGGAGAGTTCTTCATCAGCGGACATTACGGATGTGAAGGCTTCACAGAGTTCAGGCTATGGGAGACTAATGGGTATATCAAAGACGGCCTTATTGTTGAGGGAATTGAGTTCAGGCCAAAATGTTGTGTATAGATATACAGGAAAAAGGAACCTTTTTTTTTTTTTAGGAAAAAGAAAAAATGGAAGCATTATATTCAAAAGGGGTTGCCTAGCGCATTGGGACTGGGTCATTCGTTCGTACTCTATTTAACTCTGTTTTTTTTTTTTGTGAATATATATTTCTTTTTATCTTTTTAAATAAAACAAAGTGCAACCTTCCTTATTGACGGGAATACTCAAATGTTTTAAGACAAGGAAATCTAGACATGCAAGTTTAGGTTGAATGCATCCTAGCCCTCGTGTTTTATCTTTTGTCCTCAATGGCCCAAGAAAGATTAATTTCAAATATGGACAGAGTATGTATACGCTTCTTGTACCTTATTAAAAAAAATTAAATTTGAGATGAATAATAAAATAAAAACTGATTCTATTTAAAATATAGATGGATATATTTGCATCAATTTTTGAAATTTAAATTTTACTTTTTATTGGTGTTTCTGATTTTGGGAATGGCTTAATATTTTAAACAAAATAAAAATTTAAATGTACCCAATGACAGACAAAAACACGACAACCAACATATTTCTTGAACTTGATCTATACCTAATCTATTTCTTTTAGAAATCTTTGAGGTATTATTTTTTTAGGGAAAATGACAATCAGGTCCCGCAAAAGAAATTTAAATATAGCCAAGTCCCATGAAATAGCAAAATTATTCTTGAGTCCCTTGGTCCTTAGGTGTAATTTGGGTATATGAGAAATGATTAAAATGACCTTAATTTGAATTCTAACCCACAATTAAAACTTCCTACTCAAGGCATTACATCACTTATTGAACAATCCCTCTCATCTCACCACTCTCACCTCTCCCCAAGTCTCTAAGTTCATCACTAAATTCTCACCCCTAAGTTGCTTCACGTCTCGACAACTTTTCGGTAAGGGAATTGATGTCTTCAGCCTGGTCGATGTCTTCAATTGACTCAACATTTTCTTTTGGGACCTAGGGTACAATTGCTCATCCTTTCATTCTTTCATTAACTCGACTACCCTATCCGCATGTAAATCAGAACTCTCAATTGTGTTCTCTCACACTGGTTGGTTACATTTGCTGTTAAAGACTTTAGATCACTTGCATTTTCTTTGTCTCTCTTGACAACACCAAGTTTGTTTTTCCCTCTTTTTATTGCTTCATAGAAAAATCTTGTGAAATGGAAGAATCATTCTGGTGGCTCTAGTTCTGAAATGTAATTGATTGTGTCTAATGCATATATGCTGGTAGAACAGTAAGAAATTCACTCAAGAAAATAACAAGCAATGTACAAGGCATTAACTGCTAAATGAGTATATTTTAGTGACAAGTAGGGTATAAGACAATAACAAGTTCACCTAGGAATTTGACAAGTAGTATACAAGGTATTAACTACTAAATGGGTATTTTCTAGTGACAAGTATGTTGTAGGACAATAATAAGTTCACTTAGGAATTTAACAAGTAGTGTACAAGGCATTAACTACTAAATAGGCATTTGCTAGTGATAAGTATGTTGTAGAACAATAACAAGTTCACTTAAGAATTTGACAAGTAGTGTACAGGGCATTAACTAGTAAATGGTTATTTGGTTGGTGACAAGTAGGGTTAGGACAATAATAAGTTATCTTAGTAAATTGACAAGTATACATATATAGTTGTACATGTAGGTGTTTAATGTGTGTTTAACATGTTCTAATTGTGATTTTCCCTAATATTAAAGTCCTTAAATTTTCAGTCAATTGAAGATGGTAAATTCTACAAAGGGAGAAAAGAAGGAAAATGTTTATAGCTATACAAAATTTATTGAAGAATTCTATAAGAAAAACAAGGGCAAGTACAAATTGATTGGGAAAGGATAGGTAGATTTGACAAAAGCATGGGAGAAGTTGTCAGCAATGAAAAAGTAGGAATATTCAAGGAAAGCAAAGGAAGAGAGAGGAGAGACATTTACAAATATATAATTCCCTTTCATACTTGTTGATCTCTCAGTCAGTTTTCAAAAGTTATAAAGTTTGTTAAGGGAAAGGAGAAACAAAGAAAAAGGTGTAAGAAGATTGGGTTCAATAAGCTGCTTAATATAGGATGCAAGAATATACATAGAGATATCTATGGAAAGTTGATGTGGGCATTTGACCCCTCAACCCAAGAAATATGCCTTAGATGAAATGTAAGAAAAATAAGTGCAAAAGATGTGCACAATTTGACAAGCATAAGGAAAGATGGCAAGAAGGTAACTAGACAATTTGATAGGTAGAAGATATTAATGAGAAATCATTCAAGAAACTTAAGGGAAACTTGCTTTAAAATGCCCTACAAGAAGATTTTAAAATGATAACATTTGGGAAAGAAGATGTTCAATTTGAGTTATTTTTAATGTATACTTTGAGAACTCTATTGTGTCTAACAACAAGTATAGGAGTCAATGACTGTGTTTTGAAGGTTGTATATAAAACACATAAAGCAATTGGTAAATATGACTGGGCAACATATGTGTTTAATAAACTATGCAATAAAGTAGATATATGGAAGCAATAACTAAGCAAAGGGTAGACAACAACAAGGAAGAATATTAAAGGATGCATCTACTTTCTCATGATAAGTATGGTTGTAATTTTTAATTTAATAGAATGATAGTGACATCTTGGAAGTAATGTATCAAATTTTATGCAAATTTATTGCTGTCAACATTTTCCTCTTGGCCAAGAAGAAAGACCTAAGCCTAATGATGCCCTCGCATATTGGGATGAGGAGAAGGTTATTGAAAGAGTAAAAGTAGAGAAGAAGAGCATTCAGGGTATTTTGCATGATCTCATGAGTATAGATGGTAGTTCATCTATCAAGTTTTCTCCAACATGCTTTCAGTCACTTGGTATGTATAAAAAGTGGTCTAATGTTCATCTACTAATTTTTACATATTGAGATATACTTTTTGTTTTGCAAGAAATAAGTAGATTTATGTAAGATTGGTTATACTATAGGTGAGAAGTTGATGGACCTACAATTTAAGCTTCTAGGAAATTCAAAAAAGGTTGAAAAGACAAAAGGAGAGGGTGATGAAATAGATAAAGAAGCGCATGAGAATTCTAAAGAGGGTGAAGAAAAAGATAAAGAACCTGATGAAGAACATTTGGAAGAGGGTGAAGAAAAAGATGAAAAAGCAGATGAGAAAAATGATGAAGAGGGTGAAGGGGATGAAGAAGAGGGAGAAGAAAAGGAAGCAGAAGGGAAAGGAGAGGTGTAACGTCCTGAAAATTTTAAGACTTAAATTTATTTTAAAATAAAATATCTATAATTGAATAAAAATTAAGAATAATTTGATATAGGTCCAGAGTTCAAATTTTACTAAGAAAAATTTTAGTTTTATTTTATTTTTAATTATGGGAAAATTACCAAAGTTACCCGAGGCTTTTGTGCTATGATAAAAAATATTGGGCCCTTCCTTATAATTTTTCTCAAATTGTTTTGTTCATTTTTGAAAGGGGAAAAGAATGCAGAAAACATAGAACAAAGAAGCAAGAAAAAACACACAAGACCAAGAGAGAAGAGGAGGAGGAGAGAAAAGAAAGAGAGAGAGAGAGAGAGTTGGAGCTTAGATTCAAGAGGTTTTGCAGTCATTGCAAACTTAGTTACGTGGTAGGTAAGCTCTCTACTTCAATCTTCTTCCTTCCCTCTTAGTTTTCTTGAGTTTTTGGAAGAGGTAAATTTTAGATTTTAATTCCAAAGGCTTTGCTCTTATAATCTTTAGTTTCTTTGGGTCTTTGGGAGGATATTTTGAGTTTCTATATAGGGCAAAAATCAAACCCTAAGAGATTAGATTTCACTCTTCAATGGTTTGAGCCGATTTATTTAGTTATAATTGTGCTATTTGAATCCAATAAGATTTAGATTAAGCTTTGATTTTCATTATAGTGGCTAATTGTAAAAGGTGGTAATGCCAAGTGAAGGTTTTTGGTTAATTAAAAATTATATAAATTGAAAATTAGCCTAGTGGTGGCTAATAAATGGTTTTAGTGGTTAAGTGATACTATGTGAATGGTTGGTTTAATATATGGGCTGTTAGGATGATTATGGCTCATTGACCCAAGTTGTGTCGTATGAGTTATAGTCTTCTTTTACACTATTTACCATGAAAGTGATATGGATCACTTATATGTTATAGGGAATTGTTGGTAGTACTTATTGAGAAGTTAAGGAACAAGCCAAGTTTCATTTTGTATAAGGAAAAATCCTTTTGATATAAAAGGGTTGAGGGTAACAAGAGAATTTATATTTCTTATTATTTGTTTAGCTATTTTTGAATAAATATTACTAGCTATCATGCATTACATGTTTTAAATAATTAAATGCAATTATTGTATTTTATAAAGACTTATAAGGTATTACTTGAACAATAATGCATATATGTTTTCTATTTGTTTAACAATAATGTTTTTATGGAAACAAGGTTGTTTGCATGCCTTATAATTATAGAGAATGGAAGTTACACTTAAGGAAGTGTAACTAGGTTAGGTACTTTAGATAGACTAAGGAACTACTTAAGGGAGGAGTGATATTTGTTATACTAATTTAGAGTGTTGAAATGGTCAATACTCAGGAAAGGTAGACAATAGTGAAAGATATGATGTCGGTGGGAGTTCACTAATAGGGAGGTGTGGACTTGTGATCTTTTGTAGTACACTGCCAGTACTCAGTGTTGCCTTTCGTATTGTAGGCTCAGTGCATTAAAGTGGTTAGTGGATTGAGTATTTAACACCTTTCAGTGGGGGAGGTAATCTGACATATGAAGTGTGAGGTTGAGTGCCTAGGCTATAGTAGCCCTCACATGGAGAATAAGTCAGGATGGCTTTAGGAAGGAGTTAACTTTGGCTACTTAGGATTCATGTCAAAGAAGCACAAGCTATTAGGTAGATTTGATTACGCCTTAGATTATGTTTCATGTCTGTGGAGGTATAAGTGGCTATAAGGTTTACCTGTGAGCTAAAAAGTGCCAGGGGACATTCTGTCTGTCAAGAAAGGTTATACCAGCCTATGTCATGGATTCATGCATTTTAAATTATTAAATTATATGTTATGTTTAATCTATTATTCATTTATTTGACTATGGCTTACTTTATAATAATAAATGTAGATTTCTCTGTTATTGAGATTGTGGTTGTCTCACCCCTTTCTTTTTAATGTTTTCAGGTCTAGGCGAAGGATTCAGTGGTGGACGGGGAAAAGAACAGAGTTAGGGGTTGTTTGTTGATTATAAAGAACTACAACCCCTTTCTTTTGAGAAAATATATTGTAATGTACTTAGGATTATGGTGTCAGTAGGATGTGATTGTGTGTGTGTGTGTGTGTGAGAATATATATGGATTATGTGCTTATGTATGAATTTTTGTCTGCTTATAGACTTGTGACTAGGAAACTTGGTTATGATGTGTGGTTTTAATAGATTTATTCGATAGACCAAGTTTCCACTACATGTAAATTTTCATTTTGTTATATATGTGATTCTATAAGTAAATGCAAGGTGATTGCATTGCAAATAGTATGCTATGGGTAAACATATACCTTAAATAGAGAGAGTGGGCACGTGGGCCTCACAAGGATCTCTAAACCAAGTGAAAATATTCAGCATATGTATTCATATGTGTCTATGGTGTTTGGAATAGTTTTTGGCCACTCTTGTGTGATTTGTAAATTTTGGGGGCTTAAGGTCCATTTTGGGAAATGACACTTAGGTGGTCAAATTTTGATATAAGGGATTTTTCCATCATTTAAATGTTCTATCAAATACTCCTAGTCTTATTGACATGTCCAAAGTGTTCCTACAAGTTTGTACCATTAGGATGAGATTTAGACAATTTTGAAAATGATTTTTACTAAAAAACTGTACTTTTGCATCCGAGTATCAAAATTTTAATCTAACTGTTGGATTTTCTTAAAATTTAGGTCACAAGTTAAATTTTTTATAATCTTTGTGTGGGCTTTAGAATCACCTCAATCAGACATTAAATAGGAAATGACACACTCTAAAAGTTGGTCCGAAGATAGCAAAATAAAGCTGTCTGCTGTCATGACAGCAATAATTGCAGAGGTTAGGATGCACATGAATTTTGATCCAACCATTGGATCTTTTTTAAATTTGGTACACTTGTATTACTCTTTAAATGTGACATGTGGGCTCTGAAATCGCTCCAATCGGAGGTCAGATGATGAAATGGTGTACTCCAAAAGTTGGTCCAAATGTGCTTTCATGACTGCAAAAATGCGAAAATTATAATGTGTCTAAATTTTAATCCAACCATTAGATCTTTGTGAAATTTGAAACACTATTAGTACTCATTAAAAGTGACATGTGAGATTTGAAATCACTTCAATCGAAGCCCAAATGGTGAATCGGAACCTCCTGGAAATTTTCCCGAGAGGGTTGTCATGACAGCAAAATTAATGCTATCATGACATCAATTAATTACCCCTGTTTGTCCAATTTGTTTCCATACACTATATAGTAATCCTTAAAAGTTTTCTAAGAGGTTTTAAGTATTTTTTTTCTATTGTATAGATTGTTTAGCAATTTAAATGGTTTGTTTTCTAAGTTAGTTTTAGGATTAACTCCTTAATCACATTTAGATTATTTGGTTGTGGTGTGTTTTTGTTAACACTTGGGGTAAGTGTTACAAATTCTATACATGAGAATGAAGATAAAGAAGACCATGAAGAGGAAGGGCAAGTAAGAAAGGTAAATATATATGAGGATGAAGTAGAAGAACAAGAAGCATCAAAAGGGAATAGGGAACTACATATTGTAAAAGTAGAGGAATCGATAAAGGAACATAGGAGATCAAATAGGTATAAAAGACCTTTCGTGAAGTGTCTCTAGGTAAGAACTAGTCAAAAGAGGAAAGTGGCTGACAATAAGCGCTTATTTCAGATGTGCATAGCATTAAGGAAAAAAAACACACCAAATAAGCAATTTTCTAATGAAACGCTATTTGTTTTCATTAATAGGACCTTTGTGCAGATGTATCAATATTTCTTAACTCATGCTGAACCTCAATGTCTTGGTGGAACCAAATGGATCAATGATAGGATTTGGAAATTGTAGTCATTCATTTTTTTTTCAAATATATGGATATTAACTTAATTCTTTCGTCACAATGTTTCACCAATTACAGTTTATGACAATGGCTACTAGAACATTGGTTGTAGACTAAAAAGAAAATGAAGGGACAGTTCGGAAGCACATATTTCATAACACTTGCCCAGAGTGTTATTCAAAAATCACACAATTCAAATAAACTAAGTGTGGTTAAGGAGTTAATCCTAAAACCAACTTAAGAAACAAACCATTTAAATTACTAAGCAAATACACGATTGAAAATTAAACATTTAAAACCTTTTTTAAATAAAAAAATTTATAAGTTTTACCTAAAGTGCACGGAAGCAAGCTAGGCAAAAGCAAGGTAAAAAGATGTTGTCATGACAGCCCTCCCGAGCCAATTTTCGGGAGGCACCGTTCTATCATCCGATCCCCGATTAAAGAAATTTTAAAGCTCACATGTCACATTTAAAGGGTACTATAAGTGTATCAAATTTTAAAAAGATCCAACAGTCGGATTAAAAATTAGATATGTTAAAGTTTGATCATTTTTGCTGTTAGCTGTCATGACAACACCTCTGAACTAACTTTCAGAGTGCACCATTTCATCATCCAACTTCTGATCAAAGCGATTTCAAAGCTTACATGTCACTTTTAAATAGTACTATTAGCATACCAAATTCTAGAAAGATTTAACAGATGGATTGAATTTTGTGCATGTTACAACATCATCACTGTTGTTGTCATGACATCACTTTTGCTGTCATGACAACTCCTCTGGACCAAATTCTGAAGTGTGCCGTTTCTCCGTCTGATATCCGATCAATGTGATTCTAAAGCCCACATGAAACTTATAAAAGGTTTTACTTGTAACCCAAATTTTAGAGAAATCCAACGGTCAATTAAGATTTGGACACCCAGATGCAAAAGTATGGTTTTTTAGTAAAAACCATTTTCAAAATTGTCCAAATCTCACCCCAATAGTCACAAACCTATAGGGACATTTTAGACACATTAAATAGGAATAAAAACACCTGGTAGAATATTTAAATGATAAAAAAAACTCTTATATCAAATTTAACCACCCGGGTGCCATTTTTTTCAAAATGGACCCTAAACCCCAAAAATGCACAAATCATATAAGAGTGGCAAAA